AGAATTAAAAGACAAGGAGACGTCAGAATTTTATGAAATTTGGAATAAATGTTATAATTGGCTAGAACAGAGAAAGAAAAAGACATAATTATTGATGTACATAAAATGTAAATAAGATGTAAAGAATATTTAAAATGTAAAGCACTGTTCTGTTAGAAGAAAAGATTTATGTTTATGTAGTTTTTGGTGTATGGTATATAGTGAAAATAAATAAATAAAATTAAATTAAATTAAAAAAAATAGTTCCATGAGTGGGAATCTTCAAGCTACTCCACAGTCAAATTTTCACTCTGAAAAAGAAAACAAAATACTTTATGTAATATTACAATTAGCCTATCTTTACCTATAGGATTCAGTATGAAAGGGAAAATATTTCAATTTAAATCACCCCAAGTCTCTCTGTGCTTAAGATTGTTTCTTTGTGTACAGAAATCAACCATGTGAACCTTAGCTAAAGTTGAAATATAGTCAATATTATACTGCGGTGTAATATAAATACAGCCAACTAGTAGATTTACCATTGTTTGTTTTGAAAAATACTTACATAGTCAGGAGACTTAATATACAAGAAATTAATTGCAAAATACAATTTTCTTACTAGATTGTTAGGAAAACTGAGAAACAAAAGGCTGGAGTGAAAATGTTTACCCTGTACCAGTATCTCGGTCTTTTCCCAGAAGCATTTCAAAGACTCCTGAAATGTTCAACAATTTACAATTGAATGCTCAAATACTTTGGAAAGTCAGTTGGTATAAAGAGTAAAATATCTGATGCAAAACATAAAGTTGATGTCAGAGTTGCTGTCCAAACCTCTAATCTTACCTCCAATTGCTATATTTGTTATACAACTGGTTTTTCACTGTCTTGCTTTTCTTCAGATTCTTCATCAGATCCTATAAAAAGAAAGACCATGTAGCCATTAAACTTTATTAAGTAGTACATATATGTCCACACGCATAAGAACAGAGTTCGGGTTTTTTTGTTTTTGGGTTTTGTTTTGTTTGTTTTTGTGCCTTCAGGACATTGCCTGAACAAACCCCTGCAGTTTTCTTGACAAGATTTCAGACATGGCTTGTCATTGCTTGGGCTGAGAGAGAGTGACTAGCCCAAGTTCAACTAGCTGGCTTATCCCTACCGTAGTACTAAAATTCACAGTCTCCCAGTTTGTAATCTACATCAAGTTGGCTCTATATTAAGAGAATCTCAACTTATTTACTATTAATTAATTTAATCAGAAACATTTTATAACTGTTTCTATAATTTTCCTGCTTTTCATTAAAATTAATTTAATTTGCCAAATACATATATACATACGCTTTCAAATCATAATGCCCTAGCATTGTAACAAAAAGACACCAAACATGCAGAAGTGAGACTCTATCATTTGTCACATGGATAATTACTTCAATCTAAGAGATCACCTATCTAAATGCATGTATATAACTTGGAATACACCTAGCAGCAAGAAAAATGTGTGTTTCAGTATCAGGTAAATATATCCTGATTTCATTTTCTGGTTTAAAATCAAAACCTTACTCATATATAATACATAATCAAATATAGCAAAACAATTTAAAGGCATTAAGTATTTTGCACACCATTTCAACTCAAATATTAGTACACTCTCCCTGATATCTGATACAGTTCCACCTACAGTATTTTTTCCCATTAGCAACAGCCCTACGGGAGGTGTATCTACTGGTGGAGATTGTTAAATGTATTTCTAACCCTAACCCCCCCCCCCAACTTTCTTAGAAGGATCTGTTTCCTGAAATTTGAGCTACAATATATAAATATTAAACATGGAATGCTCAACATTTGTCTTCAAGACCACTATATGGCAATAAAAGGGAAATAATTTCACTTCCTGAGTCTTATATCTCCCCAAAAGTGTTTATAATAAAACCAGCCCAAAATGCATTGTTGTTCTACTGTCTGGTATTCACCAAGTAGTAAAAAACCAAGTAATAATTCTGTGCCAGTAGCACATTTAGCATATATACCCCAGCAAAAAGCAAACACCAACATAGTTTTGTTATTGTTCTATAAAGTTTAAACACTAAAAGTCTCAGAATTAAAACATTTCATTTGAAATTAAATATACAGACATCTTTTATATGACTTGTTTACAAAGTATCTACTCACAAAGGTAATACTATCCTGTATTCTTTTATATAATCATTATACTATAAAATAAAATGCTATTGCAGTATTGTTATATCCTAAATTTTTTGTGCCATTTTTATTTTCTAACCATTGTAAACCTACAAGACAAAAAATACATTATTATCTATACAGAATTACTTCCCAAATTCATGAGAATAAGAAATATTTTAAATTGCATGAAGTCCTAGAGTATTTGTTCAACAAAAATGTTTTGAGTAGATGAGGTTTAGATGTCATTGTCATTTATCCAGCCTTTTGTTGCCAATAAAAATGCTAGGTAAATCAGACAATCACCATCCTGATGAATAGTACATACTACAATGGTCAAATAGATTCATTTGAGATACTAATACATAGAACATGAGCACAAGGGTCGTTGTACATATTTCACCTATTTTATATTTTGCTGTTTATTATTTCTATTGTTCACTGATACTGACAGTGTACAGATGACTTTTTTAATTATTAGAATTAAAGTACTACTGAGGGTGCAACACTAATAAAATGATGTCACCAGAGATGTTCCACCTGGATTATTGAAGGGATTAGTGGAAGGGCTAAGGTACAAAATAACAGCATGCAAAACAGATTTACTCCATCCTGACATCCAACCTAGAAACATTGAGGTGCTCTGCCTCAGTTGGTTTCTTTGTCTCAAGAAACAGAAGAGAAACCACTTCATTTCATTACAGTACTTCAAAAGTATATACAAAGCTTCACTGAGCAAACAATCCTCTGAAGCACATTAATCCAAATCAGATGTACCGAGTTTTGAATGGGTTTAACACATTTATTTTACACATTTTGAACATAAAATGGGGCCACCATCAGTGAACTCTTGGACAGCATTACTTGGTCTGTTGTGTGGATGTTGGCTGGTTTTAGGGGTGGGGATTGTGGGGGGAGAGTGTGTTGGGGATTATGTGTGTAGGACTTGGTTTTTGGGTGTCAAGTAAATGTCGTTGTATATGTATACTATGTACGCACATATAATGACAATAAATAAATAAATAAAACAATGGAAAGTTGTACCCCTAAGAGTACAAAATTGTACTCCAATTTTTTATATTTCCATTTAGGGGTTACAGTATTTCAAACAGCCCACAAATTAGTTAACTTTGCTTTATACTCCTATAAAAAAAACCCTTATTATTATTCTCCAGCAAACAGAATTGAAAATTGTATATGGATGATACCTGAACTATTACAAGATGAACTTATATGTTCACTGTAGAACACATAGAACTTCACTAAAGCTAACATCTATGTTTGAACAAAAAAGTACAAGTAGTCCTCAATTTACAAATGGTTATGTTTAAGACAGATTTAAAGAAAATCTACTTACAACTCATCTTTGAAGTTACGGCTGCCATCGCACACCCAGTCATATGATTGCATTTCGAGCAGTTGACAACCTGTTCACACTTATAAACAGTTGCCAAGTGATCCCTATTTAAAAACTTCTCTGCTGGATTTCCCAGAAAGTCAATGGAGAAGCCGGCAGGAAGGGTTGAAAGGTCCCACTGCCTGCCAAAGGATTTCCCCTCCCTTCCGTGCATGGGAAGAGGGATATTACTACAGTAGGCTGGAAAAACAAAGCCTAGATAACGAACATCTGAGCTTCTTTTCTCCAGCCCCTGCTGGAGTTCTATGCACAGAGAGAAAGTGCCTGCTCTCCTTCAATATGTAGCTCTTTCACTCCATCCACTTATTGACCTGCATTGCCACTTAACAATCACAACTGGAAGAGTTGGGAAAACAAGTTTCAATATTTCCCTTCCAAAAAGGGAGTAAAATTATAATAATGCCAATATTGGTTAATTGAAAACTGTTGGCCTGAATGTAATTCATTTTAGGACCATAAACAGAGAAAAGAGAAGCTAATCAATTCAGCTCTTTATTTAATTTTTCAATCAGCCTTCACTCCAATAACCATCTACGCATTACAACTGCATCAAGAAATATAATCTATCTCTTCTATATCATAAAGAGTGTGCTATTTTACTATTTTTCGGTAGGAACAATCAGGCATATCTTCATCAGTGTAATCTTAACAATAAAATTGATAATTAAATTAACTATTGTAGACTGCGTTGTACTGGTGTGATTGACACATATGAAGCATATGAAGCATAAAAGAGGAAAAGAAAATAAATTTCATCCATATAACAGTGATGAAATTAATGCGAAACATGCATATATTCCAAATATTAGGATCCAAACACAATTTGGGCACAATAAACTGAGTTAAATTGGGGAAAGTCAAGCTATATGCCAGAGGATCAATTAAGTTCTGCTCATATATCAATGATGGCTTGTCTAATTTGACTCTGCAGTGTAATCTATCCAAGGACAGGACGACAATAACAAATTATATTCACCCAAGCACCATGAAAGCAAGGACACTATGTAGAGGGAACATATGGATGACTAAATGATGATTCAAATGATTAAATAATTATGTTCCACTTATTATTCTGGATTAACTTGCTGTGCTTACACCTTCCTGTACTAACTACCACTAAGCTAGAACAGCAAGATAACAGGCAGGTGCTTAAGAGCCTAATACTAATACTTTCTTGCTTATCCTACTGAAAAAGCAAATTTCTGGGTAGTTGCGCCAGAACTGAGGAATGTATACATGGGGAAAAGAAAACTGAGAAGAACAATGGGAACAAAACTTAATTCAAATAGTTTATTAAACAGCAGGCAACAAATCAGGTGGTATATCATTTCATGCCTATCAGATATGATGCACTACATGGATTTTATTAAAGATAATTTTAATCATTAAATAAATAATGGCAAGTTGTAAAGCAAAATACCAAGAAATATTTCAAGAATATCTGAAATACATATTTATCTAGTGCCAATCATTCACTTGGCCTGGAAAAAAGGAAGAATTATTATGGCGGTACAGAATACCCTGGCAGCATTAGAAGGAGCAGCGAAGAACTAGCCCATCAATTGCCTTCTTGTAAGTGGCGTTTTTGTGCGTTTTTGTGAGTGATTACACTCCTAAGACAATCATTTTGTAAACAGGCAACTGGTGACAAGTATTTTATGAATATGTATTCTCAAAATTCCAAATGTACTCCCCAGACTGCTTGATCTAAATCTTAATTACCTGCTTCAGATTCAGGAGGAGAATAAAATTGCCCATCGGAAAGGAGCCCAGGATGAATAAGGGCAGCTCGTTCAGAGGCATCCTGTACTAGCAATAATCCTAAAGGCAAATAATCAGAGTAGTATTTCTTTATTACTGTATCTTACAAAACAAATATAATTAGTCATACTTTTAATATGGTGCCGATTTAATTCACTTTAATGTTACATTCAAATTACAATTTCATCTCATTAATACTAATACTGTGTACTTTAAGACTTCTGTCTGCATACATTACACGGAAAACTGGAGGAAGAAGACTTACTGGTTTCTTCTTCTGCTTCTTGTGGTAAAACTTTGAAATCCAAGAACCATGTTTCTATCCAGGCAAGAAGGAAAGATATGATAGGTAACACATAGCCAAAAGCACCCTGAAATAACAGCTTAAAGAGGAACAAGGAGGAAGGAAAAAAAAAACAAGTTATGTAAAAAAAACAGTAAAACGGTTATGTGATTTAAATGATATAAATAGATATGCACTATTATAATCCATACCTTTGAAATAATTACTTTTATTAATAACAAGGCACTGGTTACAGCAGTTGTAAACTGAAAGAAATATGAATATATTCACACATATAAAGATGTTTCTCACCAAAATACACAATTATAAACAGGCAATCAGTCAGGTATAGTAATTCTCATAAAGCTTTGGCAACTAGCAATCTTAAAATTTCTAAAAATATGGACTTACATAAACAGCCAAATGTTATCAAAACAATACCCCATACTTCTCCACTTTTAAACATGAATCAACAATGTAGGTAGCCAGAAAAATTTCCTCTCCATCTTAACAATCCTATTTACTACAGTGGATTTTGAGTATACATTTAAAGATACAAAACCACCCCCCAGAGTTATTGCTATAAGGAAATAGAAATAGAAGCATTATGTCTACCACCTTGAGCTGTACGAACTAAAGTTGGGAAATAAATCTAAGGAGAAGGAGTGGGAAGAAGAACAGCAGCAGCATTTGTGAAAGAAAAAAAAATCCAGTTACCTCAGTCCTAAACCACTAAGTGAAAAAAGTTCTATATCTGTTGAAATGTAAAGATCATACAGTCCAGTGCTCTGATTATTAAAATAAAAAAGTAAACAAGAGACAAATTATTCTATATATCATTATCTACCCTAATAGTAGTCGAAGATTTGTAGAATCAAAATTCAATTAGAATACATAATGTAATATTTGAATATTACTGCACCCAATCAAACTTTCTATGAATTATTTTTAATTAAAACAAAAAGCTCTGTGTGCTTTGTTAAATGTTCATTTTCTTGAATATGTACATTTTTGTAGCAACTTTTTGATAGACAATTTTTTATTTGAGATATGGTTTAAGATACGCATAAGATTTTAAATTATACAATTCATTGCTCTGCAGAAGTTTGATTGTGACTATTCAGGTTATTTATTTGGGAAGTAAACTTGAAATATTTTATCTGTAAATAAAGGTTTTATCACACATAATGATTATAACTACCCAACAGGAAACCTTTTGCTTTATCTATTGTAAACCTAAGGGTAATATCATTTCATATCCATTACATAACAATGTAGGAACTCTTTTCTTCTTTCCAAAATTCATTTGATCAACCTGCAACTTACTGCTATTGCCCACCAGTGCCGTAGTCTGCACAGCGCATATGCAAGTATCAAAATCTTGAATCGAAAAACTGCCAGGAGCTTTGGAATAAAATAGGGAAAGAAAAGAGCAGAAAGAAAAGACACTGCAATATTTTCTTTGAAAATTAATAAAAATGAAGTAACAATTCAGGCAACTAAGATTATATAAAAGCATCTTCTTAATATTTTATGTCACCATTCTCCTTTTTTCCAAGGCACAGTTTTGCCAAGTTACTACACTAGCTGTCTCCTTACAACTTAAAGCAAAAGTTTTGCCTGTAAAACATAATTATTTTCATATCTTCACAATCTAACCTCTGAAAAGTTTCGTCCATGATTTTTTTGATACAAGCATATCCAATTTTGTATTCAAAATTGTCAGTGATTAAATATGAATTAATACTGACAGCATAACTTCTTCAAATCTGGGAGAAAAGTATAATAAAAATTCTAATATTTCTAAAACTATTTATTCACATAAAGTATTTTGTATTACACTAGCCGCCAGGAGTAGCCTCAGGGCAAGATAGGCAGCAAATAAATTTAACAAATAAACTATTTTACTTATCCAACTCATAAACATTTTGCATATTTTTAATAACTAATGATATATTTTGGAATAGCTTTCATCTTTTATCTTCCCCAGTGTACATCAACATTTGCTTCCTCAATATTACAACTTTTATCTTCCCCAGTGTACATCAACATTTGCTTCCTCAATTTACTTCCCTGGATTGTTTACTTCATTAGTCTGTTGTCCATTATTTCCTTGAATCAAATAGCTTTGTTGATACATCAAATACATTTAGCATTGTTAATGTTAGATCCAATGCTTCTTTTTTTGTCAGTTGTCAGGTTTCTTAGCTCTCTGCCCTCAAATCATGTACCACAGGCTCAGGTTGGGTTCTTTTTCTTTTTTTAACTAAAACTTCTGATCCATCAATCAGATCCTGGCACAAAAGAGATGCGTAAAATGATGGTTTTTATATTGTGTTGGTATGTGAGAACCAAACAGAATTAAAATTTCCTTTATTTAAATTCACACTTGATTATTTCAAGTCCATTCTTAATTCAATCTTGAAGTATATTTCATCTCAGCAATCTAATTTAAGGAAGAAGTCACTCTAACCTTATTAACTTATCATACAGTTGTAGGCTAGACTGGAAGAAGGCAATGCCAAACCACTTTTGCACTTTCCCAAAAAAACCTACATAGATATCCCATGAATTTCCAGAAGTCAAGATTGATTCAAGTGATAAATTTGTTTCACTTATTAACTAGTTTTTAGAAATTCTTGTTAAAATAATATAAATCTCCTAGAACTAAAAACCCATGGGAGATGCAAGGAGATTCAGATTTCATCTCTCCCACATTTGTTCACTTTTATTTTTAATTATTTCAATACTGGAAATCTGGGGGAGGGATGCTTCATAGGATGTGGAAAACTTGTCAGATACCAAGTTTTGCTCACTTAAAACAAAATCTTAATGGTAAATTGCTAACAAAATGCAATATAGAGTTGTCAATATGAGTTTCTATGTCTATAGTGTTGAAAATCAGTTTTTTATGTGGCTATCTATTCTTTTAAGATTTCTTGCTATTTTTAAATTATTGTAAGTCAAGCAAAAGGATTTTTAACAATTAATAGTTAAAATACAAAAATACAAAATACTTACAAAGATATCAAAATATGAAAAATGGTAGTCGTAATGCAGAACTTCTTTTTCTAGTGTTTTTTCAATGCCACCATTTACCTAAAGGAAATATTTATACTAGTCAGTAACATCTTATCTGTTCAGCCATATATTAGTAATATATTCCATTCTACAGTGGTAAATTAAATTTAAGATAGTGGTTATATAATTCTAAAAATATAGGGCAAAGTAATTACATCCTCTTTTAATGTTATTCCTTGTTCAATGGTCTGCTTCCTCCATCTTTTCTTTCAATGTTGTTCTTATGTACCCTCAAGAATGTTTCTTTTTGCCACAAAGCTGTTCCTAGATCTGAGTTGGTGGGCTTGGGGCATATGTCCGTTCAGAGGATGTTGAGGATCATTCTCTTGCTTAGTTCTTTTGGCATCTGCTGCTACTTTTCTAGTTCTAGCTGACAATGTGGTGAGGGATGAGGACTGATTATAGAGGCTTTGTGGTTTCTTCAGGGCTTTCTACTCTTTTCATTCCTTTTTAACATGTTCATGAATCCACTGAATAAGGTTAGCATGGGTATGTTCCATCACATTGTTAATGATGTCTAACTACACATCTCTATCTCCACCAGATGATACTTCAAACTTGTCTGGAGACCAGTCTAGATGAGAAAAAACAAACTAACTGTAGCAAGATGAGGTGATTAATAGGTTTTAGTGGCCCTTCCATCTTTAAGTCTGGATTGAGTGTTATTTCTCCATGCTATGCCTATGCATCACCACTACTTTGTGAGCTGCACTAGCTTCCAACAGGCTTGGAAGTGCAATTCAAGATGCTGGTTGCAATAAAGCACTTTATAGGTTGACTTATCCCTACTTGTCTCAGAAGATCCAACAGGAAGAGAATGTTCTGGGTTCTCTATATGAAACAACAGCATTTATGAGACCCAGGAAGTATGCCTTCTCTGCTGTGGTGCCTGCCTTTCATACCAGTATGTTCCCTGAGATTTGAATTACCATTCTTAAGGCCTTGAAAAACCTGACTCTTCCCGCCCCCCCAAGCACTGGGCCAAAGTGTGAAGCCCATTTTGTGATGGTTTATAGACTGTATTTTCCTTTTGTTCATTTTATTTTTGTTGGATTTTTAAAAAATTGTTTTAACCTAATGGTAGCTGTCCTGAATCACAAGCAGGACAGCTTGTGAGTTGGGTGACCATACCAAGTATATAATAATCACCAAACTTTAGATAAAAAAATCAACATATAAAATATACCAGCACAAAAGAATTAGTCCCTCTGAAAGAAAAGCACTCATGCACTTGAATTGAAAATTGAAAATTTTTGTATATACTGCCTTCCCACTGCACAATTTAATGATTTTATACCAAATCTACTTTTAGAAATAATTTGTGGCAATAGTAGCTGAATAGTAATATTTAATATTTTATTAACTAATGTATAATTTCAAATTAAAACATTACAAAATCATCCATAATCCTTTCTTCAATTTTTGCACAAAAAGAAGACTTTTGAGAAAGCCAGTCCTTATTTTTTTTCCTATATTTTCATATCCCTAATCTGCACCTTTAACGACTTCTACAATACTATTAATATCACAACATTCCATTAACTTAATTATTGCAAAATATGCTTCTCGTTGCAAAATTTGAAGAAAGTAGAGAAAAGCACTAGGCCACTCAGGTATGAACTAAATCATATCGCTGATGAATAAACAGTAGAGGTGACAAATAGATTTAAGGAATTAGACCTGATAGAGTGCCTGAAGAACTATGGACGGAAGTTCGCAACATTGTACAAGAGGTAGCAACTAAAACCATCCCAAAGAAAAAGAAATGCAAGAAAGCAAAATGGCTGTCTGAGGAAGCTTTGTAAATAGCTGAGGAAAGAAGGGAAGCAAAAGGCAAGGGAGAAAGAGAAAGATATACCCAATTGAATGCAGAATTCCAGAGAATAGCTAGAAGAGATAAGAATGCCTTCTTAAATGAACAGTGCAAAGAAATAGAAAAAAACAATAGAATAGGGAGAACCAGAGATGTCTTAAGAAAATTGGAGATATGAAGGAAACGTTTCATGCAAAGATGGGCATGATAAAGAACCAAACTGGCAGGGACGTAACAGAGGCAGAAGAGATTAAGAAGAGGTGGCAAAACTACACAGAAGAACTATACAAAAACAAGCTTAACGTCCCAGATAACCACGATAGAGTGGTCACTGTCCTCGAGCCAGACATCCTAGAATGTGAAGTGAAATGGGCTTTAGGAAATCTGAGCAACAACAAAGCTAGTGGAGGTGACAGTATTCCAGCTGAGCTATTCAAAATCTTAAAAGACGATGCAGTAAAAGTGCTACACTCAATTTGCTGGCAAATTTGGAAAACTCAACAGTGGCCACAGGATTGGAAAAGGTCAGTTTATATTCCAATTCTAAAGAAAGGCAATGCCAAAGAATGTTCAAACTATCGCACCATTGCACTCATTTCACACGCAAGCAAAGTTATGCTTAAAATCCTACAAGCTAGACTCCAGCAGTATGTGGATCGAGAACTTCCAGAAGTACAGGCAGGATTTCGAAGAGCCAGTGGAACCAGAGATCAAATTGCCAACATACGCTGGATCATGGAGAAAGCTAGGGAGTTCCAGAAAAACATCTGCTTCCTTGACTATGCTAAAGCCTTTGATTATGTGGATCACAACAAATTGTGGCAAGTTCTTAAAGAGATGGGAGTACCAGACCATCTTATTTGTCTCTTGAGAAACCTATATGCGGGTCAAGAAGCAACAGTGAGAACTGGACACAGAACCACTGATTGGTTCAAAATTGGGAAAGGAGTCCAGCAAGGTTATATACTGTCACCCTGCCTATTTAACTTATATGCAGAGCACATCATGAGAAAGGCAGGGCTAGATGAATCAAAAGTTGGAATTAAGATTGCCGGGAGAAATATCAACAACCTAAGATATGCAGATGATACCACTCTAATGGCAGAAAGTGAAGAGGAACTAAAGAGCCTCTTGATGCAGGTGAAGAAGGACAGTGCAAAAGTTGGCTTGAAACTCAACATTAAGAAAACCAAGATCATGGCATCCGGCCCTCTCAATTCTAGCAAATAGATGAGGAAGAAATGGAGGTAGTGACAGATTTTATCTTCCTGGGCTCCAAGATCACCACAGATGGGGACTGCAGCCAAGAAATTAAAAGACACTTGCTCCTGGGGAGGAAAGCTATGGCAAATCTAGACAGCACACTAAAAAGCAGAGACATCACCCTGCCAACAAAAGTGCATATAGTCAAGGCCATGGTTTTCCCAGTTGCAATGTATGGCTCTGAAGAAAGTCTGACTACCAAAGAATTGAGGCCTTTGAACTATGGTGCTGGAGAAGACTCCTGCGAGTCCCCTGGACTGCAAGGCGATCAAATCAGTCAATCCTAGAGATCAACTCCGACTGCTCTTTAGAAGGCCAGATCCTGAAGTTGAAACTCAAATACTTTGGCCACCTAATGAGAAGGAAGGACTCACTGGAGAAGAGCCTAATGCTGGGAAAGATTGAGGGCAATAGAAGAATGGGACGACAGAGTGAGGTGGCTGGATGGAGTCACTGAAGCAGGAGTGAGCTTAAATGGACTCCAGAAGATGGTAGAGGACAGGAAGACCTGGAAGAACATTGTCCATGGGGTCGCGATGGGTCGGACACGACTTCGCAACAACAACAAATGCTTAAGCATTCCAAAACACCACAAACATTAAGCATTACTAAATAAGAACTATGCTTCTTGCATTTTATTCATGCATAATAAAAACTTGCTCAAATTTTATGAACTAAAATCAAGTTGGATGAGATGCTGAATCCAGAATTCCTATATCTACACAAACTTGTAAAAACAAACTGTAGAGTTGTAGAAAGTGTGGGAAAGATAATTAGCTCCATATTATTTTTCCTTGGGGAAAATGTGCATGTATATTTAAGATAATAAATTACTCAATTGTTATGTTTTAAAATGTAAATAGATGCGGTCAAAGTTTATCTTTAACATAGAAATGTGATTTAAATAACCAGCTGAATGATCTTTTCAGTTAGTCAAAGTACATGAGTAATTCAATAGGTCATATTCTGACATATTGTGTGTGTGTGTGTATAGACACACACACACACATATAGTAAATAAGACAATTAACACAAAAGTTCCTTCTTTGCACATCTGTCACAATTGAACATATTACAAGCTATGAAAATACACTATGAATACTTTCATAAATACTATATAAAGTCTTTCTCACGCGTTACTAACCCATCCTCCAAATGAATAAAATCAGTATCTTTTCACCAAAATCAGTATCTTTTTGTTGCATATAATTTTAAGAAATTAACAGAAGATTTTTCACTAATTCATATCATTATTTTTGCATGAATTACTCAACCTATTTTAATTACTTCTTATGCTTTTGTGAATTTATAGTTAATTAATCTTTAAAAGTCAGTAAAGCAAGTAAACCTGAATAATAGGAAAGGAGAAATCTTTTCACTTGGACTCATGTAATATTGATATATGAAGATGAGAGTGATCCGTGAAATTTTCATTACTTTTTAGTTCCCCTTATGTTTACTTTGGGTATGGGTGTAAGTGTGCGCACATGCAAAGCATATGTAAGTACAAGCTACAAAAATTTCTCTCATCTTATCTGTATACAATAAAATTATTCCCAGAATCCATAAACAAACTTCAATTATTATTATTTTAGAATCCCCAAATCAATTTTCATGGAACAACAGCTGAGCTAACAAGTAACCATCAATTCAGGTTTTGGGGGGGTCCAAAATAGTTCTCCAGGTCACACAATCAGCAATGCACTATATCAATAAAATCAAACGCACAATTAAACCTCTTTCCAAGTAGACTTTACTTTGCAGTTATATTATTCATTTTTGTTCCTTCATAGTTCCTTCTTAACAGGAACAATAAAACATTATTTAATGAAATTTAATGTGACAGCTCCATTTTCAGAGTCAAAAGAATTTCCATCTTCAAACAGCAGCTGATTTATAAAATAACAATATAAATCACTTATTTTTTCCCCAGTATCTTAATAGCTCTAGAGAATACTAATATTAAGATATTATTTCCCAATATCTTAATAGCTCTAGAGAATACTCAACTTATGATCCCAATTGAGACCAGAATTTCTATTGTTAAGCAATGCAGTTGTTAAGTGAGTCATGCCCAATTTTACGACTCTTTTTTTCTATAGTGAATTCAGATTCCCTATTAATTTATGTCTAATGGAAGCTGTTTGGGAAGGTCGCAAATAATGATCATGTAACCTAGAATGCTGCAAATTTTGTAAATGGATACCAGGTCCCAAGCATTCAAATTTTGATCACGTGATACTGCATTGGTTGTATGAGGAACTTTTGTAAGTCATTTTTTTCAGTGGTGATATCTTTGAATAGGCACAAAATGAATGATTGTAAATTGAGGACCTGTATTTCTTTTTATATGGGTATCTGATATAAAGTGAGATTCAGGGATCTACAAAAAATTAAAGTGCTATCACAAGTGCTATCTTTTCTTAGTATTTTACATGATACGAACACTTCTAAAGAAAATGGTTCATTTTGTTATATAAGTAGCTTTTCCGAATAACTCAGTGCTGTATTATCTTTTTTGGAAATTATGTTTAGTCCCAGTTCAATAGGCAAAGGACTTCAGTCTAATTTAATTAAAGAAAGTCTTCACTATTCCTGCTCTCACAAATTCTCAAAGAAAAATATACTTTTAAAAGGAACTCACGTTTAATTCTATTATCCACAACAAGGTTATAAACAATAAGTCAAATGTGACAAATAAACAGAAAGTCCTTCGAACATCAGAAATGCCTTTTTTCCCCCTGGTTTCATAGGACTCAATTCTTGGCATTAGCTGTGTTGGGTTGATGGAATGAACATCCCTTAAAGAAGGATGAGAACCCAGACTGCTGCCTTGATCGCCTGATATCCAACTCATCCTGTCTTTGGTTACAGCAGCTTTGTTTCAGCTTCAACATTACTACCAGATTAATCCATTCTGAAGATTTCTCTACAAAAGAAATGCCACAATTAATCATATTAGTCTATTCTTTACTAATAAAACTTGATTAAACAATATAAACATCCCCACGCCAATGTCTTCTAGGTGTTTAGTCTTTGGCCTTCAATTTTCTCATCATGACAAAAATGTTGAGGGCTTTTGATTGAAAATAAGCTGATGTAACTAGTAAACACGATTGTTCTCTCCACATTCTTGTTTCTCCAGTAAGTCAAATATTACTAATACAACAAAGTGGATATGACAGATTATTATCATCCTAAAAGACCTCATTTCTCTTTTCAAACCAAAGACATAAAACATGAAAAATATAGGAAAGTTTAATATAAGGGTGAAGGTTCGTTCTCCATGCTTGTGGGTTGGTTTCTGAACGTTTCGTTACCAGGCTAGGTAACATCTAAACAGCGGAGTTTAGGGGATATCAGTGTCAGTGTTCTGTTTATAAGGGCTTTGTATGGTCAATAGGTCTTGTGATGAGTCAGGTATGAGTATGTCAAGTGAGGGTCTTGTGATGGGTCAGGTGTGAGTCATCAGTGGAGTTTTGTGATAGTCTTGTGTTGGGGAGGTTACATCAGGTGTGGGTCACTGAGAAGTGAAGGGCTGGTTGGGGGGGCTTGCATGGGTTGGTTGAGGGTCAGTGTTGTCTCTGGTTGGCTGTGCGATTGATTTGGATTCTGAGGGGTTCATAGGCTGATTGTAGGTCAATGTGTCTGTTGATGGAAGTGCTTGGGGAGTTCCAGGCTTCCATGAACTCACGAGCATGGCAGGTGGTAGCATGGTCGTTGATTTTTGTGTTGCTCCAATCAAACTGGTGCTATTCAGTGTCAATGTGGGTAGATATTAAGGATTTGGGATTGTAGCGTTTGACTGCCAGCCAATGTTCGTGGATCCTGGTTTTTAACTGATGCTATGTTTGTCCTACATAGAATTGGTTGCAATTGTTACAATTGATGTTGTAGATTACATTCATCCTTCTATATCTTATCTTTGGTTCTGGCTAATTCCTGGCGGAGTGTGGCTGTGGGTTTGTGAGCTATTCCTATTCCTAGAGGTTGGAGAATTCTGCTGTCATGACATACCCACACCTACTGACCACACAAAGCCCTTATAAACAAAACACTGACATCCCCTAAACTCTGCTGAAGATGTTACCTAGCTAGTAACAAAACATTAGGAAACCAATCCACAAGTTCAAAGAACGAACCTTCATTCTCATCCTACACCCAAGCTACAAATATTTGCCACTATTGCAAAGTTAATATACTTTGATTTCCAATATTAATAATTTATTTTTGCTATATTTTGGACACTGAGATGGATGGCATATAAATTTAATAACTAAATAAATTTCAAGCTGTTTTCCTATTTCTAATGGTCAAATCCAATCCAAACTCTGATACTGGCAAGTTAAGTCATTTTTTATATTTAAAAATAAAATCAATGACCTCTTTTCCAAAGCAACATAGACTTTACATAAGTGATCAATATACGTTTATTTATTTAGCCATAGATTCATTTTCCTATAATTAGAAATTACATTATACAAATAAAATTTATTGAAATTTTGAAGACATGGCTGTGCCAACTAGCCTGGAGCCTCAATGGGTTTTGGATGTGGCTAATGAAGTAAATGACACTCTGTCCCTTTCTTGTGCACACTTTGCTCCCTGTCTATCCTGGTTAATTTTAATTAAATTTTAAATTTATGATCCTTATTTATTGTTTTAATGGTTTATAATGCATTTTAATTGAACATCTTAAGCCACCTAATGAGATGGATGGCATACATTTAATAAATAAAATGAATAAATAAAAGTTTATATAACTACAAAATACATTAAAGAAAGTCTAAAGGGCAGAAAAGGGAGGAGAGATAGAAAAAAAATCTTCTCCATTCTCAGGAAATATAACCACCACAAAGAATTTATCACTCTTAAAATAAAATCAAGCATCTCTTCATTTCATATTTCCCCCATTTTATATAAACTACAACGTCCTCCCTCCCTATTAAAAGCAAAAGTCCAGTAGGGGTTATCAGAAATGACAACATTAGTATGCATTACCGAGTGTATCTAAGATATTTCTCAACTTATGACCTAAATTGACCCGAAAATTTATGCTACAAAATGAGACAATTGGTAAGTGAATTTTGCCCCATTTTATGACCTTTCTTGCCAGATAGTAAGTGAACCATTACGGTTAAGTTAGTAACATAGTTGTTAAATGAATCTAGCTTCCCCATTAACTTTGCTTGTCAGAAGATCACAAAATGTAATCACATGACCCTGGGATACTGCAACCATCATAAATATGAACCAGTTGCTCATCCAAATTATGATGAGGAAAATATTTTATAGTTTAGTGTAGTACTTAAGGTGCTGGCTTTGGGCCAGTCATGCAAACCAACCTACCTCACAGTAGCTGGGAGAAAAACAGGAGGTGGAAGAAGTATTATGTATGTTTACCAACTTCAGTTATTTATAAAGTAATAAAAGTGGGATAAAAATTTAATAAGTAAATAATCATCCGTTTTTCCACAGACTGCAGAGTGTGTGGTTTTGTGTGCTGCCTGCATCCAACAGATGGGGCTTTGCTTGTTTGTGTGGCCCGGTTGCTGGCATGCCGCGGTTTGGTACCAGTCCATGGACTGTGGGTTGGGGACTCCTGATCTAAAAGTCAGTAGACTTCTTGGTAATGAGTGATGTAATCAAAGAACTACCAAGAAGAAAATAACATCTCTGTTAACATTGACAGGGCAAGCTATATAGCAAAGGGAATTCCCTTCCAACACTGAAGATGACCATCTTGAAATGGTAAATGTTATCTAATACATATTTATTTTTTTCAAGAACAGCTTCCTTACAACTTTATTCTGACATCTTTAGGTTATGTCCCTACTGATAGTTTGGTGGGTTTCTAAAAAGGTTAGATTTAAGTTCTTAATCTTTCACAGCATTAGCTGTTCAGATGGCCAGTTTAAAGGGAAAACTTTAGTCTAGCAAATAAAACATAGGGATAGGATTGAATGAAATATATTCCAGTTCCAGTTTTCAGTTAAGTGTGTGCATATAACAGTGGTGGCGAACCTATGGCACGGGTGCCAGAGGCGGCACTCAGAGCCCTCTCTGTGGGCACGCGCGCCGTTGCCCCAGGCCTAGGCCTTCAGCTGGGTTTTATAAAACCTTTTCACTTTAGGCCTCCGCCATGTACAAAAAAAAAAGGTTCAATCAATCAATTTCAACTTCTCGTGGAAAAAAGAAAAGATCTTGCAAAGTTGGAATTGATTGATTGAACTTTTTAGTCCCACCCAGTCTGCTGTTACCACTGCAGCCCCACCCACTCAATGGGCCACACCCACCGAGCACCCAATGATGCATAAGTGGGTTTTGGGTTGCAGTTTGGGCACTCGGTCTCTAAAAGGTTCGCCATCACTGGCATATAATATATATAGAGTGTATCTTGCAGATATTCTAAGATATCGTCAGAACTGATAAAATTTACAGAAGTCTATTCAGCGGTTGGTTCGGGGAAAAAACATTAGAGACGTCCAATCTTCACGACAGCCGTTTTTCACCCACTTTTAGCCCAGCAGCACTACCGGATGCAATCCGAGACGAGCATCTTACACTTCCTCCTCCCCATTCCTCCAACTAAGCCCGACCCTTCCTCTCTGGATAGAGGCCATCCCCTGCGGCACTGGGAAAAACTAGGAAACATCTGCCCCGGGAGCAAGCTAGGCCCACCAGATGCCATCCTCCTGTTGCCCGGCGGCGGCTTTCTACGGGGAGAGGGCGGCGAGGCAGAGGAGGCGAGATGCAGCGAAGGAGAGAGTTCCGCAACGCCTCCAGCACTCTTCAGAGTTCCCGTCGGGCCACCCACGGAGAGAGGACAGAGGAAAGGCTGTCACAATTGCCCCTTCCCCGTTATTGGAAGAGAGAAAAGGCCAACAGGAATGGAGTGCGGTGGAAGCCGATTCCGCGACCAGCCGAGCGCCTTCACAAGGCCCCAGGAGAGAAGGTGGGCGAGCGACGGCTCTCATAACCCTAGGGGTGAAGCTCTTACCGGGACGAACCACTCCGCTTTTCCCGAGGGCGGACCAAGCTTCCCGAGGTGGCCCCGCCTCAAGCGGCTCCTTACCGTGCCCCCCAGCAGTAACGAAGATCACGCCCGTTGGGCGACGATAACACACCGCCTGGAGGCCTCGAGGGAGGAGCTGGCCGGGTAGCGGAACGACTAATAGTCAGAGGAGCCACTACGGCGGCGCGAGCAAAGGGCGGGGCCATCCGAAAGGAAAGGCGGCGGCCACAGAGGGAGGGGGAGTTGCGGTTCCACGGGTCCCTTGACGAGTCCTGGGGACGGAGGTCCCTCGCTTTTATTTGGCTCTTCTTCATCATCGGAGCCGTTCGCTCCGATTTGTCGCTGAAAGGCTAGTTTTCTGCCTACCTGAAGAATAAACTAATTGTGCCAGTTTTCAGTTATGGTGAAAATTTCATCTTATGTCCATTACACTTTGGTAAGGGGCTATAGTACAATTCAAACCATATTATAAAATAATAAAATATATTTTAAAAAAATCAAGGAGCGAGTCTGCTTTATTAAAGGTGGTCAGGAAAGCACGTAGATTACTTCTACTTCTCTGCTTTCTCCCATGCTTTGTGCTGTATATGCGCAGTCCGAGCCCTGGGAAACTCGGCGGTCCGCAAAGGATTAGTCGCGGCTAACTGCCGAGTAACTTGCTCACAAGGTACATTGGAAAATTGTTAATGGCATTTTTTCCCCTTTCGGTTCCTTTTTCAGACCTGAACTTCAACTTTTTCGCTAATCAATTATAGTCCTTTTGCTTCAATTTTCCTAGACAATTCTTAAAAGTATGTCTTTACAAACTTCCATCTGAAAAATGGGGGGGGGGGGGGAAA